AGTGGCCAAGAGTACATAGCAGTCTAGCACACTAGCTGCTGCTTTAGTTTCAATTCTTTGCAGTAATTTAGTTCCATGTTTTTTACATGAGAAATAGCTCTGTGCAGGAGCCATTATTGGGAGAGTGCTTATTTGGTCACAGTAATTTCCATGTAAATTCTATCCAAATTGTTGGTTTTTTGTATTTTGGTTGGTTATACAAGTCTAGCTTTGGGCCTGTGATTCGACAGACCAATTTATATAATGTTCTCAGTAAACTAAAGTCTAGGGACCAAGCTTTGCCCTCTCTTAAACAATCTAATATAGTTATGTTGATTTTCTCTAAAGAATTCAGCATGCACACTAAAATATTAATAATTTACTATGTTTCCCTCCCACAGTGGAGCTCACTTTGTTATTTAAGAGACTTTACTCATGATAATTCAAAAGTATAGAAACCCTTACCCAGAGATTAATGCTGTGTTCAATGGGCTCTGGGATGGTGCACACTCTAATGCCCATTAGATGGCAGCATTACATAATAACTAGAAATGTGGCATGTCACTGGATTCTTCTGAGGTTTTGACTTGCTGTCAATCCTAGTGCTCTTAGCATTAAAATGAAAATATTTTAAAATAATGCAACAATAAAAAAATGTCTGTTTGGTTTTAAAATGATATGGCTTCAATTTTGTTTTAAATGATGGTTTGTTTTATTGGTTTGACAATGCCTTTCCCATGTTATCAAGGAAATACTCTAACAATGTCATCTTGTTTCCTAGAAAATTTGTTTGCCTAAATGACAATATTGATCACAATCATAAGGATGCACAAACAGTGAAAGCAGTGCTTAGAGATTTTTATGAGTCCATGTTTCCCATCCCTTCCCAATTTGAACTGCCAAGAGAATATCGGAATCGTTTCCTTCATATGCATGAACTCCAAGAATGGTATGTTCCACAAGTTCTTTTCAAGTTACTGTAATGCAGTAATATATCATTAGCTAAGATATTGCTAACAAGCTGGTTTTCCCCCAGTATTGTCATGAAAGATTTAACAGTCAAAATAGCGTGGTGAGATTTGAATGGACTAAAATATGAGATCTGCAGGATTTGGGTTTTTCCAGTGCTTAAATAGTCATCAATATTTTCAAGGTTCCTAACCTACTGCAAACAAAAGTTGTTGGTTTGTTCCGTTTGTTTGTTTGTTTTTTTAAATAAAAACAGGAATTCTAGCTTGCTTTAATTTTAAAAAATCCCCCAAACCATTATTACATTTCTGACTAAGAGATTTTTTACAATCTGTCACATAGCAATAGCCATCTGGGTAAAAATCAGAAAAGATATATGTGTGTCTCCTTTTTGTATAATATGCGAAATTTTTGTGTGTGTTTATCTCTTGCCATTTTATAAATAACAACTGAAGAAATTGGAGTAGTCGACTTGAGAAGACAAGCAAAACATTGACAGAAAAGTGACAAAAATGACACAAGACTAACATAAATAAACCTGTTGCTGATCAGCAAATCATGAGAAATAGAAATCATGAGAAATTTAGTAAGAAAATAGAAAGCATTAGAGGAACTCTAGAAGGAATCAGAAGGATTGTAGGCATGATTGTAGTGCTACAAGCCCTGCTGTATCAGTGGCAGAGGGAGCAGGGGCCAAACCCATTTAGCTTTAGAAATTCTGCTGGAGGAGGAAGCACAGTGTTGGCTCCCTTTTAGAGACCCTCCCTTTTAGAGACCCTCAAGTCTTCTTGTAGCTTCAAAAAGACACTTTATTGTGTCTTGTTTGTAGCCAGAGATGATTCTACCAGGGTGTGTTAAGGCAGATTAAAATGCTTGTGGAAATCAAAGTATTTTCAGAATCACAGGGCAGCCCAGGTCGACAGGGACCTTGAAAGATCATCTGGTCCAACCTTTAATGGGAAAAGGTACTTAGATGAGACTGTCTCCTGCCAGCTCTCAAGTGTCCTGCCTTCAGATATATAACTGTAGCACGTAAGGGAATTGCAGTTTGGTCAAAAAGGATATAGTGTGATGCAAAACCACAGTTGCCACAAGTAGATGTGGCACTTGGAGATGTAGTTTAGGCCTGGACTTGGCAGTGTTAGCTCAACAGTTGGACTCAATCTCTGAGGTCCTTTCTCACCTAAAAGATCCCATTATCTAGAACCCTGAGCATCATATCTTGGAAGCTTCCAGTGGTGCAGGCTCTACCCTGTCTCTGGGGAGACTGCTCCAGAAATGATTGTTTTGACTACAAAAAAGATTTCCTTATATCAAGATGAAACCTCTCCCAGTCCTCCCTTGTCCTCTCTATGTGGCTCTTTGTGAAGAGAGAGCCTATGTCCTCTTTTTAGTCATCCTTTAAGAACTGGAAAAAAACCTGTCTTTGCATGTTTTGTGGAAACTCTATAAATATTTGCATTTATGATATATGAAGCTGTTTTTTTGTTTCCTTCTTTCTTTGTCCAGGAGGGCATATAGAGACAAGCTCAAATTCTGGACCCACTGTGTTTTAATAACACTTATTCTATTTACAGTCATCTCATTTTTTGCTGAACAGGTAAAGTTAATGTCTTCTTATCAAATATGTATAACACTTAACAGATTGTGGAATCTTCAGAATAACATTGGATGGATTTTTTAAGTAGGTTTTGAAGAATAGATAGGATTTTCCTTTCATAAAAGTAAAGATGTTACGTGACTCATGAATAAGTTGCTTTAATTTTTAAGTCACCATGTTGAGATTCCTTGAAAAGAGAGTCATATGGGGAGAAGGAGAGTGGAACCTTCTCGGGTGCCTTGTGACAGTGAAGTCCATCACCAGTGTGCTAAATTTGGATGCTCAAATTTAGTAATTGTTTTTGAAATTCTTGGTCTGTTAACATGGATATTGGTAGAAGTGTATATTAAGTTAAGAGGAAGAAAAATTAGTCCAGAAGGGGTCTTAAGTTTCTTAAAGGCCTTATCAAAACCTCTTCCTTAAGTAGTTGATTGCAAAGACTCCTACTGAATTCAAAAGGTTTTGAATCTGACTAAAGGGGAAAAAACCCTTGAGTTCTGCAAGCTTAAAATGGCTTTCTTGAACATGATTAGTCCTGCTAAACTCAGAGGGAGTCAATGGAACAAATCATATGGGTAATTCTTTGCAGGTTGGGGCCTTAAGTAACACTTTCCGTGGTCTGATGAAGAGGGTGTAATTCTTGAAAGGTTGGCTTTTGATTATTATTTTTTTCCCACCTGTAACTTTTGCATGACTCTTTCCCTTGATTTTCAGCCTTTTTTATATATTAGAAAACTCCATTAGTAACTTGATTTTGGAAGGGGATACTCAACTCAGTGGTACAGTTAGGAATCTAAATACCATTTTAAGATGCCAGCTTTGTGCTGATCTTTTAAAAATAGAATGTAGCCTGGTGTTAATTTAAATACACAAATTACCTTTAAAATAATCAGAATAAAGGCATGGTGTATTTTTTCACTTTCTGCTTGTATTCTGATTATTGAGAAGTCTAGTGGAAATGTGCACATCTAATAGATGAATTGGAGTAAAAAATGCCTTTCTGGTATAATCAGAAAAAAAAATAGAGTACTGAGTATTTACTATGGGTGGTACAGATTTGATAGCATCTAGGATGAAAACCTGACCAGCTGTGGACCTTTAGCCCAGCATAAAATACATATTGTGTTTTTTTCTCTCCTCAGCTAATTGCACTTAAACGAAAGATTTTTCCAAGGAGAAGGATCCAAAAAGAAGTTGGTCATGAACAAATCAAAGTGTAGAAGAGCTTTACTTTGGAGATCAGTCTACCTCAAGCTGTGATTAAGCATTTTAAATGTCTCTTTCATAAGTGTCTTTTCTGGTTTGCTGTTTAACTGTATTGATATGAAGAAAAAAAATCATGCACCTACATTCGAATCTCTGCAGTACTCTTCATGATATAAAAGCTGCTGGAGCTGTGACATTGCAGAAAAACAACAACAAATAATTGCAGGACACCTGTACATAGGCACTTTTCAACAGATCTTACTTTACAACTCTTAGTTCATGGCCATGTTATCCTTTTTTATAAAAAGGGTTACCTAAACAAATGTAACTGCATTTATTGCAGTGGATGTTGCCAACTAGATAAAATGTTGGAAGGAGAAGTTGTTTGGGATCAGCTTAAGAAGTCCTTGATCTTGCATTCCAAAGCATTTTGCAAATTTCTGTCATTGCTGCTTTTTTTAGCCTTCTGGGGAAAATGGAGAATTATGTAACTTGTCATTTAAATTTAGAATACATTTATAGATGTTGACATTCTTTAAAGCACAGTGACAATTCATCTCCCTATTTGTAGTGTATGATTGGGATTTGAAAGAAAGGTATGCTACTAAAAAATTACACAGTAATAACATCTAATGGTTTATTTGAAAGATGTTTTATATCTGGTGTATTATAGTCCAAAGAATACACAAAGAAATGGTGTTATTTCTTGGCTTGATTACAAAGAGAGGTTGTAATCAAAGGAAAATGATCAAGGTAAACTATTTTACAAGCATTGTAAATGAAAAAGCAAAAGTGCCTCTATATGAATGGGTAAAAAACTGTTTCAAATTAGAAATGTATGGGGAGCAGTGTTTCACTTCATAAAACAATATTTGTACTGACATACGAAGCTGTGGTGTTTTTAAATTTCACGGGGTTTGGCCCTGTATTTTGCTGAGATATCAGAGTGGTGTGGTTTTATGTGGGAAAGGGTACTGAATCTTTTCAAGCAGAAATTTTTGGTGGTGTATCTTCACTTAATTGTATTAGCAGTATTCAAAAACCATTAATTTTTTGTAATCGGATGATGTACAAAATGTATGTGCATATGTACTGTAAAATACTTGGCTTGCTTTGAAATTACTAAAACGCGATGAAAGTTTTGTCTGCCGTTTCTGTTTCAAAGTCAACCAAAGCTCGCACATTTTGGCAAATTAGCCAGGAACCTGTATGAATCTTTACGTCAAGATTTCTAATTTTTTTTTCGTTGAAAACCTTGCAGCTTTAATGATTTAATAGCAATTCGAAGCACGGCTCCGTTCTCAAAGCGGGATGAAGCTCTCGAGCAGCGTGAGGCTCCTGAGGGCGGCGGCGCCGCGGCCCGGCCGCGCCCGTTCCCGCCCTTTCCCGGCCGCGGGAGGCGCTGAGGCGGCGGCGGAGCCGCGGGAGCGGCGTGAGGGCCGTCCGGGACCCCGGGCCTTTGGGACCGGCGGGGCTCCCTTTGGGACCGGCGGGGCTCCCTTTGGGACCGGCGGGGCTCCCTCTGCTGCGAAGGGAGGTGCGAGCAGCGCTGTCCCTGCCGCCTGTGCGTCCCCTCAGGCTGCAGCTGACGGCCCAAGTCTCCCTTGCTGCTCTGAGGTGGGTCCCCACGGTGGAAAGCCCCGCAAAAGCACCCGTTTGTTTAATATCTTTTTAGGGCAGGGTAGAAAAAAAAAAGAGGTGAGTTTCTCTAAAAATCACTGTTAAAGTACACAGCTGTGGATTGAAGACACTCAGATCGGTTAAAATAGGTACCTACACAGGATGGGTGGGGGCTGCTTGGGCTTGTGAGGTGGCAGGATTGTTTTACACCTGGCTGAGGGGGACTGAGAAGTTCTGCTTTGTAAACGATTTTTAATACAAAGAAAAGTGTCTGTATGTCAAATAAAATAGTTGCTCTCAGTTCAAAGTTAAAGTGCCTTGGCAGGACAGGGACAGGCACAGCTAGACATTATGGCCCAGCACTCTCTTCCTTTACATCATGTCCTCAACAGTCAGTAGTCGAAAAGCAGATTAAGTCTTGGCAATTTTCTCTCTCGTTTGAGGATAATTCTAATGCAAAAGCTTTTGATTTTCCAGTCTTTTCCAATAAAGAGACTTGTTGTTCAAGACACTTGTAAAATCTAAAATTCTACATACTACATAGAGAAACATCAACCTCAGAAAGAGCTCAGTATTAAAAAGTATTCTTTCCTTAGCATAGTGTGGCCATGTTTGTACAGATCCATGGAATCTGGAATTAAAAAACATTTTCACAGCTATTGACAAATAACTAAAAGTTAAAAAACCAACAAAAACAGAAATAGGAAACTATTTCGGTTTTTGTTGGTTTTGAGGTGTGTGAGAGAGTTGATAATGTTGGGGGGAATCTCACAGTCCTTAAAATTCAAAATATCTTTAATGAAGTTCTCAATTTTCATGTGTGAACTTAATTTTTAGGTCTGTCCCTGCCCTGGCTAGCAGAAAACCTACTGATATTTCTAGCAGTGTTGGATTGTGTCTAGAAGGAGAGGTTTACTAAACTAAATGAATGAATAATCTTTTTAAGAGGGTAGTCTATGTGTAAAATGTTTGCCAGTGTAGAAATGGCATTACTTACATTACAGAATGCAGAGGTATAATAGCTATAAAGAAGGATAAATCATAACCTGGAAGTTGCTCAGGACTTTAAAAAATGGCATAAGCATATGTATATTCACAGTGTGGGATGGCTTGATCACATTGTTCTCTGTGGTTTATCATTTCTCTATTTGGGACAGTAGAATATTGGCATAGCTTTTGGGGAATGCAGTACAGGAGATGACAGAATGAGTAATAAACCTTACGGAAGCTGGCAGACATCTTAAGAAAATGGGTACTTTATCTTTTTTTTCCAGCAGAATCAAGTATGTTCCTAATAGCCCTGGCATTTTTTAACATGTTTTTAAAAGCATCACTGATGGGTAATGCTGTGGAATACCTCAAAACTAAACCAGTTTGACTGCTTGCATATCTTTACAGGTGCAGACTGTTAAAGAGATACCCATAATAGGTGCAGGTAAGCATGAAAACATACTTATTTTCAATTTATTGTGGAGGAGGTTATGTCACAAATACAATATACTGTTTCAGTAGGAAAAGATCTCACCATGGCACCATCAGGAAGAAAGCATGGAGGAAAAGCTGGTAAACCAGCACAGGAAGATCAGACCATACCTACTTTTGACTTTGAGGAGGAAAGAAAAGAACTGAGTGGATCAGAGGAAGATATTAGAGAAGGTGCTTATATGAAATTTTTAGGACATTTGTAAAATGTGGATTTTATCACATTTGTGATTATGAAAAGAAGGGAAGAACTTCTGAGTCAGCCAAGGGCTGAGCACAGTTTATGTGGCTTGTAATGCCAAAGACCACCAGGCTCCTACTGTATAATTTTGATTGGTAATTTTCAAAATAATATAAATATCTATTTGTGATTTTTCTTTATAAAGGTGCAGAATTACAGTACCTTTTTTACAGTAAATTCAGATTGGATTCTTATAAATTTTTGTGTTGTTTTTAGCTTTCTGATGATTGCTGTATTGTGAGTAATGGTGGAGTAGTGGCCAGAGAAAGTAAAACTATTTAGGACCAGGGCAGAGAAGTCAGAGCAGTGCCAGCTCCAGTCTGGCCTTGCAGAGCAATTCACCACCATCTGCCAGCTCCAGACTCAGAGTTACAGGAGCTGCCTGTGTTGCTGATGGGAACTGACCATGAGACATGGGCAGGGAAATGGCATTGCAGAAAAATAATTGCACTTTAATAACTCAAACAGCCGACACAAAATTTCTTTTTGTAAATATTTCTATACTCCTTCTTAAGGTGACATACCAGTAATGGACAAGCATGGAAAGAAAAGACCTCTGGTGACTACTCATGTGGCTCCAGATGATGTGGGGTAAGGTTAGATGTTTGGGGGCTTTTTCCAAAAGAAGCAGGTTTTAAATAGATACCAACTTCAGTTATTCACTATGCTTATTTTTGCCTTGTTTGGGGTTGGTTTGGGTTTTTTTTTAATATTTGATTTAAAAAATCAAGTGAAAATACAGTAGTGGTAGGTAAAAAAAAATTATAAAAAGCATTTCAAAAGAGTAATTCTTCAGTTTCTTTGTAATTTCTTTTGAAAATGTAGGAAAAATTTATATATTTGTGTGTTCTTAAAATTTGTTTCTTTTAAAAGATTACTTGTTTTATCCTAAATTGTTGATAATGTCATTAAATCCTATTAATTTTTTTCTTCTCATTTTAGTTGCTTGAAGATATTACCAATACTTTACATGATCCACATATTGCATGAAAAATAAATTATTTTACAGATAAATCTTAATTTAATATTCATGGAGAGTGAATAAATATTAATCAAATTTAATATTCATGGATAGTGTAAATTTAATAAAAAAGTACATGCTAAAAGAGTTTTCAAGCAGATTATAACTGTTAGGTTGAGGATACTGTTCTTACTGCATTGTAACACTGCCTTACACACTGGTGTTGCCATCTTAGAGATGGTGCAAAAACAAACCTGAAGTTATTTGCCTTGGGATGTTTTACTGTGCCAGTCATGCTGAGAAGGACTTGTTTTCATTTGGTGTTCCAAATACCATTTTGTTTTCTTTGTCATAGGCAATAATCAAATTTATTTACTGACTCCCCTTACTCAAGGCATGTTAAAGTCCTCTTTATATAATAGTGCTTCTTTACTGGGGAGTAGCAAATAGATTCTAGCATTTCATAAAAAAAAGGCAAATTATTCTGAAAGAGAAACCTCCTCACAGGAGAAGAAAAGGAGTAAAATTATCTTGTGGCAGTTCTGTTACTGCTTAGAATAATAGGCATGTGAATAAAATTAGTTCTAAGCATACTCAACAGGTCTAAAGTCAGAAAACGGGCCAATAAAAATTTGAAACACTGTTTTGTAGGGGTGAAGTACAGAATATGTTGGAGAGATTTGGAGGTAAGTACATTTACATTCTAATAAATAAAATACAGTTGCAGAGTTGGCAGTAATAACTCACCATAAAATAACTTTCATGACTTATGTAAAATGACTAGTTTCTGTAGCACTTTTCAGCATTTCTGAATAAAGCCAGTTTTCAGGAAAAAAAAAATTTATATCTAAGGAGAGCAAAGGGAATGAAGACGAGGGAATATCTGCATATAAACGAGTCACAGCTTGTAAGTGTAGATAATTACAAAGGAAAAGAGGCATGAGTGCTTTGGATAATCAATTCCAATTTTAAGATGAAGTTTAAAAGGTAGTAAATATATTTTAGAGAAAAGGGACAATAGCAGTTTGCTGTTGTTCTCACTCAATTTTTTGTTACACTGGCATAGAGGATACTGGGGATGGCAAGACTTGAGTGAGAAATAAGGGAAATGTAAATGCTAATATAAGCAGCAAAAGAGAACAAAGAGTTCTAATTCTAGACAAGCAATTTTGGAAGTAGAGTTTAGTTGTGATACAGAATGAGAGAGCAGTCTGTACTTAGCACTTCCAAAAATCTAGAGAACAGGGAATCAGCAGGTAAGAGAATTTCAGCAGTCAGAAGGCGTCTGAGTTTCTAGAACAGCCAGATAACGAGGGGAAGTAATGCTGGTCATCCAGTGATGAGCAATTTGTGTGTGTCACTCAGCAGGATTTGGTATAGTCATAATCAGGTCCTCAGGTGGCTTTACCTAGTTAAATTACCAGCTGAATTCTGCAGAGTGACAGGATAGAGAAAAAATACTTTTAACATTTGTGAAGAATGAATAATACCCATCACAGAGTAAGCAGACATCAAAAAGCCATGGAAGGAAGGGAAACCATCTTAATGTCAGCATTACACACTCAATAACTGTATAATACTTTCATTGTATGTAATAAAAGAAACCTGTACAGAGTCATTACTTGCATGTCAAATTTAAGGTGAAAGAGAAGCTTGAGTAACTCCTTAATCCACAAATTAGGACTTTTGACTGTCACAAAATTATGGATTTTGTATTACATATTAGAATGGTATTAGAGATCTGGCAATTTAGATAAAAGGAGGATTTCAATGCTAAAAAGTTATGATTGTCTGTAATTTAAAACTCAAAAAAGGAAAGAAAGGAAGGAGGGAGAATGAATGGATCAGAGAGAGGATGCTGTCTGCACAAAATAGTGGGTTTGGCATTAGTAGAGACACATGCCTCAGCAAATTAGGGAAGTCTGACAGATGTTTCCTGAAATCTACAGCAAGAAGGAAGATAAAGGAAGATAAATCACTGTATTAATCTTAAGCTGTGACTTGATAAATCTCTAAATGTAAATTGAAGTGAAACAAACGCAGTAACTTATATTAATAATACTTAAAAAGCACTGTCTCTCTGAAGTATAAAAATAGTTATTCATTCATTCAGTGTGTTCACAGGGATAGTAACCACATACTAACCTTAATTTATTTATGAAATTCAAGAAATTGGCATATGATTCCGAAACAGGTGTTGGTTAGGGCATGTGACAGGCATAAAGAAACAGCATTCACACCAGTGCTACCTGCAGGCTGAGGGACATCACCACACCAGTTCAGATCACACCAGCTTCTTGTTGTTAGAACACACCTCATTTGCTTCTCCAAAGTGTAACTCATCAGCCTTTTCAATGCATATCCAATATGCCTAATTTCTAAATATTCTTTGGCTTTCAGCTGACATTAACAAGGCTCTCTTAGCTAAGAGGAAACGATTAGAAATGTACACAAAAGCCTCACTCAAAACCAGTAACCAGAAGATTGAACACGTTTGGAAAACGCAGCAGGAGCAAAGGTGACCTTTCCTCTTGGTTTCCAAGCCTGTGGAACTAGATTCCCTTCTGGGTGACAGCATGGATAGCTGGTCTGTCACCTTGCAATAGCAAGTACTGTATCTAATGTTAAACATCTGCTCAGGACCTCTGCTGTCTTCCATTGTGTCCACTTTGTTAATCTGACAATAATAATTCAGCACATTCTCTTTTGAACAGACAAATTTAAGATTTGGAACTCTGAGAGCAAGGTACATTAAAGAGTGTGGCTTACTTTAATCTTTATGGAAAGTGACCTTTGATGTTATTATGTATTTTAAAACGATGGGGGGGGTCCCCACTTTGGAAATTTCTGTTTCTACCTGAAAACTGAAAAATGTTCAGTAAAACTTTAATATAATTCTGGTTAAGAAAGTAAATAATTTTCACCTTCCTTAACATTCCTCTCACCTCTTAAGGCATATTTAATTACTACATCTGATTCCAGAGATAGAGCAAAGTGAAAAAAGAGACAGTTAAAAACTAAAAGTCAGCAATACTTGTAACTGTCTTGGTGTTGTTCTACATTTATTTGTATTTGAAACTTGTACAGACAAAATTTTAAGAAATGAGCTGATCAGTTTTTCAATGTAAACACCTTGTGTTAAAGCAACTACCTGTAATTGAATTAGAAAAACACGGTAAATCTCTCAAAACCTAACACTGTTAGGAAGAAGAGTTGCTACAATTTCTTTTTAACCAGTATTTTATGGGAATGCTGCCTCTATGGATATATTCCACATCCACTCAGTGTACATGTGTGTTCAGTTTTTCAAAACATACAGTATTGAAATGGTGTCAGATGTCAGAGTAGCCTGTTTCTTTATCTATGCCAGCTTTTATTCTATTCCATTGGTATGTTGAACCTTAGCTTTCCTTGTAATTCCCTGTAGCATTTGTCACACTTAGAGTGTCTGTTTATAGGCAGAAGCTCAATCATGAGTTCTCCCAGCAGTTCCTGACTTTATTTCAGCAGTGGGATGTAGATGTGCAAAAGGCAGAGGAGCAGGAAGAAAAACTTGCGGTGAGTTTCCAGCATGGTGGGAGCTTCACTGTATTTTCCACAAGGAGGGAATATTGTTGTTTCTATACTCAAGAAATGTAAAAACACTTTATGTAGTTTAAATATAAATATATGATTGTTTAAGTTTGGGAAGAGAGGTGCATTTATAAACTTTACTTCAAGTTTATAATCACTGCTAAGTGATGCCCTAGGCCAGCATGTGGCTTGAGAAAAGCAAGGACCATTTAAGGAGAAGAAAGACATGTGCTGTTTCTCTCCATCCATAGTCTTTGGGTTCAGGGAACAAAGGAATAAAGGAAAGTAGTGGTTTTTTAGCATACATTCCTTAAAAATATGCCTGTATACAATAAATTAAGAGAATTTGATCACTGAAAGAGGATAGGAGCTATACAATGGAATGTAATCATGTGCTGTTGCTCTGTTTGTACTTCCAACACATTTGCAAGGTTTGCTTTTCCTGAGGTAGCACATACCTAGGGATACCCTAAGAAGCTGTGGGACATAGCAATCCTCATGGGATTTTACAGGGATAATTCAGGTTGCAAGAGACCACAGGAGGTGACTTGGGGCTTAATCCAGTCTTCAGTCTTACTTTCATTAATAAAAGCCAGGATAACTTCTCCAGGCAGAGATCCACATTACAAGGCACAGATTTCCAATAAAGGCAGATTTTCTGATTCTGAAAAATCAAATTGGTGTGCTGTCCAAGCACTCTGCTTAACAACTGATGGAATTATGTTTTTCTTTTGCTTCTGCTTCAGAATATGCTTCGCCAGCAACAAAAGGTTTTTCAACAGGCAAGAATAGTTCAAAGTCAGCGACTGAAGACCATTAAGCAACTTTATGAGCAATTCTTAAAGGTAAATCTTTTTCTTGGAAAGCAGCTGATCCTTATCACTTAAGAAAGCTATATTAATTCAGTGTTTCAAGTTTAACAAAGTAGACTAGACATACTAGACAGCAAACAAAAAAACTGTTTTGAGTACAACCACACAAAAATTTTAATTTTTTAATTAAAGGCATTCCTCACGAGAGAAAACCTTCTGTGCCTTAATAATTTTCATGACCCTTTGCTGGAATCTATCCTGTATGTTCCTATCTCGCCTGTCCTCAGGAGTCTAAACTGGACCCAGCATTCCAGGTGTGGCTTCACCAGCTGCCAGTATACAGAGCAGATTCAAGTCCATCAATTTCTGACAAACCTTAATTTCAGAAATTCAAGTAATTTCCTAGCTGGGTTTGAAATTTCAGTTATGATAAGCTTGGTGTTTGGTTTGGGCTTTTTTGAAGCCTAGTAGTTGATAAAAATAAATCTGAAATGGAGCAACTCTTAGTTTAAAAAAATCAGAATTTACTGAGTATATTACAGAAGCATTAATAAATAATAACTGTTCCAAAATGTCAAAAATGTCTTCATCAAAGAGGAAAAACTGAACAGAAGGTCAAGTATCAATTTGATTTTTCTCCTCAAAAAAGATCAAAAGGTAGAAGTCAAACCTCAAATAAGCTTAAATAAATACAAATTAAGGAAAATGCAACTAGACACATACACAGAGGTAAGTGTAATTGTATGTAAAAAAGGGAAGATAACCAGGGAGTTTTATTTGGCTTATTTGGGGAGAAGTGTGCAAAGAAACGCAGTGGGGTTTATACTCCTCACTTCAAGTCCAGCAAGGTTGTCATGATATTGAACCCCTAGAATTCCTGACAGATGTCTGTTCAATCTCCCCTTGTAGCATTTTTATCTTAATTGAAATGCAGAAGAAGTAGCTGAGCCCTCACAGAGGCTGACTGGAGGGCTCTATCCTCTTCCCAGGGTACATACTGTTTAAATAGGAATGTAGACTGGAGTATGAAGTCCTGTATGATTCCTCTGCCAAGCTGTGACAAACTCATCAATTATCTGCGATCACTGTAAAAATTAAATTGTAGTATGAATAATTATTGGTTTGTTTGGTTGTTTTAAATTAACTACTTGACATTGAGGAGTTCTGAATTAATATTATCCTTAACTTCAGAGCATGGAAGAGCTGGAGAAGAGCAATGAAAATCTTCTGGCCGGTGCCCAAAACGAACTTCGCAAGGAAATGGCGATGTTGCAGAAGAAGATTATGATGGACACTGTAAGTATCAGATCTATGAAGTTAGTTAAATGCAGAAACAGAACATTCAATTAAAAGTCATTTGACATTCATTTAATTCAAAGGAATCATATTGATACAGCATTTGTTCAGCGTTATCTCCTTTTCTTGTGACAGCAACAGCAGGAGATGGCAACTGTTCGCAAGTCTCTTCAGTCCATGTTATTCTGATGGCTCAGTGGAGAAGCAACTTGTACCTAAGTAACACGATACAAGTACAGGCATTAGAAGGATGTTGAGATTTAAATGTTTCAAGGTTCCTATTAAACTCTTTCCTGGATTGTTCTAATCTTGTCTGTTCATGTTGTAAGAAGATATCTTAGTAAACTTTTATTACTGGGGGGCAGTATGGACCCCAAACTGTTCACTGTCTGTTCAGTTGATTTTTAAAAATTTCATATCCACTTCAAATAGCACTGGACTGTTTAAATAGTTTCACTTTTTTATACCAAATTGTAACAAGGGGAAGAATTAATGAAACATGCATTACCCAGATTTTACTTAATAACTTGAGGCCTTCAGGTACATTGTGCAAAGCTAACAAGCTGCAGATTGTCACAGTTTCAATTAGCCTGCTGATATATTAGCTGTTATAAAAATTCACAGGGTATGACATAGCTCAGACACAATTGTTTAATGATGTGTATTATGGTACATTAAAGTAAATTTTGTTAACTCTTTTGTTAGTCTAGACATTGTACTATCTCTGTATTAGTATGAGATTTATAAACTGCTGTAATTTGTCCAGAAAACTGGGGTTTTTTTAGTTAAATTATGAGCTTAATGTATCTGCTCATGTAACAATAATTAAACATTATGCATTTTGGGTCTGCTTTCTGTAGAACCACTGCTAGAAGAAATTGACTTCATTTATTTAGTTACAAGACTTTGAGATGGAATGTTATTTTTTGCAATTCCAAATGACTAGCAATTTAGGGAGGCCTGAGTTTTAAGGATAAAGCATTTATCTTTCACGTATCTCATTACAGTAAATAAGTATAAACTAAACAATGAGCTTAGTGCACATGCAGTTTGTTTTTACAGAAAGCCATTACACCTGAATATCTACTTTTAAAAATTAGATAGTTGCCAACATATTTAATGCTTTGATTTAATATAACAGTAGATAAAAAGAACCATCCACGCACCCACACACACCAAATGTGATGTTATCACAACAATGTGTTTCAAAACCGTATTTTTCTTCTCAGCCTACAAGCATTTTTTGAGTCAAGTCATTTGATGGTGGTTCTCCAGGACTGGAAGCCAGATTAAGTGATGGCTAACTTGCAGTAACTTCAGCTGTTTGGTTATAATGACTATAGAACTTCTTGTTCTGCCCCTGCCAGAATTCAGGACAGGAGCAAACACGAGAGTTACACTGCTACACTGATGCATGAGGGGATATGGGCCTCTCATGGTAACGAGTAACAATGCTGGTTTGTAATTACTGAGTCTCAGCCCTCTAAGGCCAATGAAAGGAGGCTATGAAAGAGGTGACAGGTTCTGCTTCAGATCTTCAATAGGAGCTTATTTGTTAGCATTACTTCCTGCTTCTGGTTTGATTTGTTAGTATGGAGTCATGGTTCTGATTTTCTGAGTGATTTCTGCATTAGTCTCCTATTATCCACATACCTCTATCATATCCTCAAAACTACTTATACCTGCTATGCCAGGACAGTTTTGACCATTGTGGAGAACTCACTCATTTCACTCTTAAGATGTTGCCTGTGTCTTTTCATCAGGAGATAAATTTGCTTACTGTATTCAGCCAAAGTAAAATGGTCATTACCATCTTCTTTTCTATTTGACCACGGTCTAGGTTCAGGCTAAAATCATGTGCAGTTGCTGTGTCATTTCCAGCCTCAAACAGGAGTAGTAGGATTCATTCTGAATTTTTATTAGTCACTTTGAGTTGTAGTCCTTTGGCAGTAACTGTTACAGTTACAGATCCTCAAAATGATCATTATTTTCTTCTTAGGCAGGAGGGTGGTGGATGCTATTTTATTTCCTCCAGAGCAGCAGACAATACACCACTTTAAAATCTCCTTGAACACCTCAGGAAGTATTTTTGACCTAATAAGCAGGTAGGAAGCTGCACTGGTAGTATTTTTAAAACAAACCATGGCATTCTTTATTGGACAGACAGAAAGCACTCCATTAACTCAGAAGCTCAGGTACATATCAGCAACTGGAAGGAGCAATGCACACTTACATTCAACAGCTTTTTAGATAAATGATATTCAAGTACTACCTCTTGAAAGGAGTTTATGTATAGGGTTTGTGTGCAAGTAATCAATTTTTCATTCAGCTTTTCTATAATGGCAACAGCCCTCTTGTTAGATATGTTACCCAGTGGGTCTGTTCTTAAAGGAAGAAAGAAGCTGATACTGGGCCTGAGTTCCTGTTTTGGAGAGTTTTACATTATGGTTCAGTTTTGTGCCCTTTTGTTTGGCTAAAGTACAGTGGCAGCTTCGAGACAATAGGATCAACTGTAAGGTAAATGAACACAGGGAAAGAGAGGGAAATACAGAAGGGTGAGCTGCAGGGCTGGAGCCACAGGCGTTGGAGTTTATCAATGAGCTTTGTGCTTCACTTGCATAGGCTTACAGACACAAGTCAGGGTGCCTAAAGTCAGTCCTCTCCTTACACAGCTAGCTGTAGTCTAGAGAAGGATGAAGTAAAATGAGACTGACCTTACTGTGACCACAGAACCAGAAACTGGCCTTGAAGGAAAGTGCAAGCTAAAGTCTCATGTGGTAGCAGTAGGTTATGTACTTAGATTCTAGAGAATGCATGAATTCTAAAGGCACTCATAACAGTACTTTGAATCAGAAGAAAATTTTCCTGAGCTGTACCTCCTTTATCTACTGATCCAACAGCTTGTTCCTTGGAAGTACCAGAGGAGAGATTGAGTGATTTTTAGGTCATGGCTGCCTCATTTTACCAGCCTTAATAATGCAGGAATGAATTCATTGGTACATCTGACAACCACTTCAGAGCAGTTCCAACAAAACTTTAGAACCTAATGCTACAAAATTAGACATGAAATTCCTCTTCGAATTCTGGCTGGTAGCACCTTGCTTTGCATCTACATTCACCAGAAGAGAAGTACAGAATTAAAGTTACCTAACAGGAGATGGCAACGTTTTCAAATGTAGTATTTGTGGTCTGAAACACAGGGAAATACATACTGGTTCAAAAGTACAACAGCATCTGCAGAACTTTGTACCTACTAATTCTAACATCTGGTAATGTCTGAAACAGAGTCAACTTTCTCATAAAACTGTTTTCTTCAAAAGCTTTATCTGTCTTCCCAAAAACACAGAGGCTGCTTCATTCCCCTAACTGCTTCTTCTCTTGTCCTTGACCTATTTAATCAGTCATTATGGTTTTGAACCTGCTCAGGAGCTTGATGAGATGAAATTCTGAAGACATGTATATGAAGATGAGCGGCAATCTGTAGGCACACACCACTGGCATATCTCAGCATATCAAACAAGGATATGAACTTCAAAAGAACAAAACAGAACAGGTTAAAAAAAATCCATTTTTTAAAATTGTCCCTACTATAAATATGCTGTACTTTAATAAGAATTGATCCAAGTGACAAGCATAACATAAATACATCATTGTAACATACAGCTACAGGGTGGTCCAGTTTAGAATTAAAAATAAAACCATCACAAAACCCCAACATCCTAACAGCACTAAACGCTTACAAGATCTGTTAAAAATCATTTGTCTGCAGTTCACAGAATGACTTTAAAAATCCACATAGACTAAAGCATAATTTCAGGAGAGATTTATAAATTTACTTTCATTTCTTTGTTCCAAGTAAAGCAAGCCAGTCAGCTCCCAAAACCATATTTACTTGGTACCCAGCACTCCCTCTGCAGTGACAGCAGAAATGTGAGCAAGTCAGAAATGGCAGAGCAGAATGACAGGGACAATTCTCAATGAATTCCTTAAAGCATGGTCCAGAGAAAGAGAATAAAACACTTACCAATGCTATCCACAGGACAATATATTCATCAATGAAACTGTTGAAGTACTGGTCCAAAAACAGAAGTCCTGGCCCGATAAATGCAGAGTCCTGAAGACAAATTTCACTTTTTGTCATGTGAGCCACCTATGTTTGAAAAAAAAAATTAAAAAGTGCATCCATTCTGTCCTCTTGGAAGTTACATCTATACCTATGCATTTCAGCTATCTGCACTCTCTAGTTTTTCAGCACTGTATTCAAACTGTAAGACTATGCAAGTGTATTACTGAAAACAAATACTATGAACTTTTTTTTTTTTTTAATTTTGGCTTTCCCTAGCCAAAAGTTAACTAGGAAACAGACCTTTTCTTAGGTGGCAACACTTGTTCTCACTGTTTAGTAAGAAAGTCTGTAGAATACCTATTTTCTAGTGTTCAAAAAATGTCATTCTTGGAGAAAAAATAAAAGCATCTGGCTGGATTACTGATGTTGGTAAATTTGTAGTAAGGCAACTTTTTAAAATCCATTGAGGAGTGTTTTATGTACAAAAAAGACAAAGACTGGAAAGACAGAATAGAGACAGAAAAGTTTCTCTCTTTATTTTAATGATCACAGTAAATTCTTATTTCAGATCATTAAAGGAGAAGCCACAGCACTGTAAGTAAGGCTTAAGAGACCACAGTTAGGATGTTAACAACAGACAGTAAGTGCATTTCTAGGAGTAAGTTAAACAAAACTGAAAGTCCTAACCAGTCCATTCAACAGCAAATAGGTGTTTTCATCAGTGTCACATATAAACTCTCGGTAGAACCCCGAGTCTAGTTCAGTGTCTTGATCACAATGAATCTGGTAATACAGGAGCACAGCAAAATGGGAAAACTGTTCCCCCGATCCATTAAGTGTTTAGCCAAGAACCAGATCAGTTTAGGAGGTTTAGGGCTGACTTACCACCAACTTCTGTGAGATTTTGGCATTCACAAGCCCAAATGTCAAGACATACAGGCAAGAATGTTTTTCAAACAGCTGAGTTGTAGACTTTTTATAAATTGTAATGGCCAGTGTGATAAGCAGTCCAATGTGCAGGGCTGGTGAAAGAACACTTGTTCCCTAAGATATAAAGGGATGGAAAATTTGTTTTAAACTTCAGTCACATGATAAAGTCCGAGTTTTATACATATTTCAAATCCCATTAAACAAAACCAGAGTTGTCAAAACTTGTCAAAATCCATTAGTATTATGTCACTGCTCTTAGCACCCTTTGCAGTACCCTTTGACCACTAATCAATTTTTTAGGAAAATTCACTGCTGGTTCCCATGACAGAAGAAATCCAGTAACAGGCAGAGAGGAGGTAGATAATGAACTTTGCTTTAGCCATCTAACACTCACATGCCTGTCTGCTTAAAAGCTTAAACAAATAAAACCCTTAGGGATCATCTGAAACGTAATAAGTTACGGGCATAAATTATTCAAACCTCAATTGAATTTTTAGAGCAACTTACTGCTATTGTAGATCCATTCTTTCCAACCCCTCCACCAAAGATGACACGGAAGTAATTGAAAAAAGAAAGTGCTGTTCCACATAGGATGCCAATAACTGCAAAGAACTTCAGTTCAAAGCCCAGCAAAGGGACCTAAGCAGAACACAAAAGAAACAAAACCAAAACAAAAAAAGAACAAACAAAGCACAACAAAACAAGAGAAAGATATTAAAACTTAAGCACACAACACCTTTTTTAAGAAGTGATTAAAGCAGCCATTCTTACCTACTAAACAAATGTTTTATTTGAACCCTCACTTTCCTGGGAACAAGCTCAGAACAACAGTGTTTAAAAACTGTTTCCTTACTAAGAAAACAAGAACTATCTTTTGTGATGCTTAAACTCCACTACTGAGTACTTAAGTTCTGTTCTTGAAATTCAGTTAGATCTTAGTCTGCTCCTCCTTAATATGTTCTTCAAATATTTTCACCACACAAGCAAAAACATGACAGACTACTGCCATCAATCACCATGATATGGAAGCAGGAAGAGGGGTAGAGTTCCTTCTATTCCACTAGATAAAACAACACTGATCCACAGGAAAAACAAACACCATCTGCCTGCTGTGTGTTTTGTCATATTATTTGTATGCTGTATCTTTGCATATTATGGGACTATCATTAAAAGTCTCCAGATACAAATTTTAATTAAACAGTTACCTTCTGGAATCAATTGCAGTGTCAAGGAAACTTCCAAAGGCAGCAGAGGATTTTAAAGAGAAGTAATAAATGCAACTGTTTACTACATTTTTTGAATATATAGTTTTTTGTGATACAGCATAACTACAACAGATTCTAATAGTGAGGAAAAAATTAATCATAATTTAAGTTTAATGCACCTACTTTGTTTTCCAACATGAAGACAGGCTTTTTGAAAATAGAAAAAAATAGGCTGGGAAAAGGAAGCAAAGTTTAGCTAAACATTCCTCCATTGCTGAGTAAACTTTTGAACTAGTTTTCATTTCTACTGGTTATCAATAGTATGGAAAAGTAAGCCTCAGCTCTTTGCACTATAACCAATCAGAACTATAAATTTCTGAGTAAAAGCCCTAGAAAGCTGAAGATCTTTTGATACTGTCCACTAAAGTGCATCTTTAAAGATCAGAATAAAAGCCACAGATATGGAAATGTTTTGGGACAGAAAATAATGTTTTAAATATAAATATTTACATGGCTGTGACATAATTCTTAAAAATCAGTACAAATATGGATAACTTAACCAAAACCCCCTGGCTTCATCCCACAGTTTCATTAAATTGAAGCATTTAATCCTTAAATTTTAAGATAAATTGTTTAACTGAAATGTATGCCTTACAATAAAATATACAAAATATATGAAACCAGAAAAAAAACCTATTTGCTAAAGCTTAACTATGTGTGGAGTACTAGTTCCAGATCAGAAGTTTATATATGGCAGATGGGGTCTTTTTTCCTCTGTGTAGCTAGAAATCTGTGCACAGGGAGTCACACCAATAGATCTAAGTTAACTATGGCATTAAAATAAACTACACTTACACAATAAGCTGAAACAACATTACACAACTGGTAGGTGTTGATAGTACTTGCACAGAGCAGCTTCAAATATCACAGGAACTGTGGGCACTTGAGAAGATACTCAACAGGAACTCTGAGCACTTAACACACTCACCTTATAGTCCCATAATCCTGTTCCTCCATAGGCAGTTATCAAGAGCAGCATTGTTATGGTGATCTGAACTTCAGTTACATCAATTCTGTGAAAGGAGACAAAAAAGAGATTTAGTTCAAGGACTTTTTGCTGTAAGTGTAAAGTGTGTGTGGAGGGAGGGGGGAATAAAACCCCCAGTAACTGTACTTGAAATGATATAAATATATATAAAATATTACTTTCCTTGACTGAGAAAGCCACTCTATATGGAGGCACACATCTCTGGCTAAGATTTAAAATGAAAGCTATACTCCTTTTCTGGAGCAAGCTACATATAATTTTGAAAGGGGGACACTTTAATGAATACACTGTTAACTATTTGAGAATTCTGTACAAATTTACAGACTTGTTGATGTGTAAATGTCAAATCAAGGTTTTAGGTAAACTCATAGTAAATGCAATCAAACATTTCCATTAAAAGCACAGCATATAAAAGCAGACACTATAACAAGCAGGCTGGGAAAGAAGGGATTTCTTTAAGCTTCATATCATGAAAACTTGACAGATACAGCCTGCAAAACAAGGGAGGACTGAGTCAGTGGATAGGTAAGCATTTGCCATATTTCTGAGAACACATAATTGCTATCTTGCTTTCCTCCATAAAAGCTGTTTTAGGAAAGGTGGCCTTGTATGCCCTGTGAAGTCCAGACTCCATGTTTCACCTTTTTTTTGTTCTCTGACAAGACAGACATATAAACTCTTTATTTTTGTATTTAATTGATGAAGGCTCATATGAAGCCAAGGCTCAAGAATAAAAAAAACCAAAAAACAAAACCAGTACTTTTTAAACTTTAACATAATTAAAATAATGACCAAAAAAAGGTGCATATCAAAGGTACCTTTTATGGTACCAAAGTTTTGAGACAGGTATCTTATCTTCATACTAAAGTTACCAGCAAACACTGATAATGAATGTTTAAGATTTCTTTTAGCAGTTGGAATAAATTTACTGTTTTAAGGTATTATGGCCAATGTGTATTGCTACTTACTTAGCACATGACCTATCTGCACAGGAAGCAGTGGGTTTTTAGAAGAAGATAGCAATCATCTTTTAGGTAATGGAAAACATTTATCTGAACTTGATAATCTCAGTTAAAACTCTCTCCTTTCATCAGAAAGATGGTGATAAAATATGCTAAATTTAATCACAGTCTTGTGACTCTTAGAGGGTCCAGAGTTTAAACTGCAGTTAGATGATAAGCTGAGGTGCTCGTTGCCTCCTAAAGCCAAGATCATGGGGAGTCCTCTTCTTCCTAAGATGTTGTATTCCCTCAGTTTTATTTGCTGCAGTGCTCACTGGACTGTAAGGTGAACCAGTCCAGCCTGCCAGTCCAGTGTAGGCTTTTCACCTTCTGCCCATTTAATGAAGTGGCTTGAGGTCCAGTGACAGGGTGTCACAGGACAGGAGGGCTGGGAGTGGGCTCTTCTTCTCTGCCAGGGATGAAGTGTTACATCCACCCTGCCACTGCTGAGCTTGCTGCTTGCCTAATGCAAAAGCACCCATGTGCAAGTGTTCAGAGGTTGCACTCTGTACTATTAACACCAGGATTTCTAATCTGCATTGCCTTTGTTGCTGCTGGTGAGGGGAGGAGGCTCAAACTTGAACTTGTGCCAAAATTTAATACTTAATTTCACAGTGGCTCAGACTGTGGGTGGCAACAGAACCCAAATCAGAGCCCTAAGACTTTACTCAGACACCTGACAGTGTCACACTATTCAGCTCTCTGATCCTTCTTGGCCATCAGCACTAGGAATCTCATTTGTGACTTATTTCTAAAATTTAGTGCTTCTAAGTGAGAAATAGCATCAGTGAAAACTTCCATCCATCTTATTATGTACCAGCATATTTAGAGCACTATACTATGCCTTCTTCACATCTCTGTGTTTAAGAGAAACAAAACTGGGAGCCTTGAAAAAAAAAAGTGACCTGTTTTCACTGGACAGAAATAAGTTATCTCGTGGAAAAGTTGTGTCTGTTTAACTTTGAACAGTAACCATGGAACACCAGGCCATTCTGAGCTGTTTGTATACTATCATTATGTTAAAGTAGAAGTCACCAAGTTTTTAACAAAATCTTTATGTGGTAAAGACTTCACTGCCTTCCCCATGTGGGGAAATCATTCTCAGGCTTTTTGCAAGAATAAAAGGTCCAGAAAAGCAGTCATGTCTGCAAAAGGCCAGAGCTCATGGCCTAGTCCACCTCCCTTCAGAGCAGCCTACTGTCAGAGACAGAAAGTACCTATTTCAGCTATCACTGTGAAGCACCTATTTTTGTTTACAGCACAAGATGTCCTTTAAAAACAATAGGATGTGTAGGTAGGCAGAAGAATTACAGTGGTAAATGTAATAATGTGGTAAAATGCATTACCAGCAAATCAAAGAGAGCTCTTATCAATATCACAGAGACAGCTGCATTTGATGCAATGTGCAGGGATAGCTGGTCACCAGCCTGTGTGCCTGCTGATGTGCTAAGGCACTTCTTGCAGAGCTAAGTAGGACTATGTACAGGTGATTTAGCAAGTGACTGGCATTAGCAGGACAGCCTTCATGTATCCCTTATTTTCAGTTCTGCTGCCACCGAAGTCTCAGACTTTTCCTTTTTTCAGAAGTAATTGTACTAAAGCGAAGCTCATTCCTTAAAACCAAAAAAGGCCATGGCCACGTACTACCCCAAGAATAGGAGGGTGCAGCAATCCCTGCATTATTAGCAGTTAAACTGAAATTATTGTCTTCTACATTAATGTCATGACTTCTTCTCCTATGCAGCAGTGAAACAGATAAAATTTCTATCAAGTCATGAACAGCATCACACAAGTCTCCAGAAATGACCGAACACAAAATCTAAAGGATAACAAAGCCAGTGTGAGCCAGATTTTACAAAGGCCCTCACATAAACGTAGTGTAATTAATTCTTCATTGCCACAGATCTGTGGAACTCCTTGAGGATGCTATGGGTGCAGAGAGTTCATTCCAAGGAAGACTGAAAATGCCTATGAAAGGGAACCCCATTAGCAGGAGAATTTCTCTAAAATGCATGTAGTTTTGAGTGCCCAGGGGCTGAAACTGTTCTGCTCTGGGAGATTACAAAGGGAGGTACCCAGATGCTTGCTCTGTCCCTACTCCTACACAGGGCACTTGTCTGCAATGTAAACAAGACCTCTGGCCTCAGCCTGCACAGTGCTTGTATGGGTTCTGACAACAAATCTGCAAAAAAAAAAAAAAAATGCTAAATGCATGCAAACAAAGCATACAGAGCTAAAATCAGCTGCTAGAAGAACAGCAGAGTTCAGTATTATGCAGAGTTTCAAGTTCTTCTTAGGTAAAACACAAGTCTGCTGGATTGGAAGGGAGATGAGAAAGAAGGTAAGAAAAAGAGAAAGCAGGGAATAAACTAGGAAGAAACTGAAATCAAGAAGCTAGCAGTCTCAGACATTAAGCCACATGTAGTTCTAAGGATACCTACTTACTTTCCAAACCTTAGTATGCCTGATACGTATGTCTGCCAGTGAGCAGAATAGAACATGAACAGTCCCACAAAACAACAGAAAAACAACCAGTCAGGATTCGATCCTAGGCGGATTGCTATGCAGGATCCAAGGACAACAAATACTGAAAAGCAGAAATGAGTATGTTAGTCATATATCCTCTTTGCTTGAAGTTAAGAGAAATTAATTAAATAAATAAATAAAAACACAGGACATTTTACATCACTCTAACAAAGTAATGCTATGACTGATACTTCACTGAGTAGCTGACCCTCAGGGGCAGTCCTGGCAGGAGAAACCAAAACACAGCACTCCTTTTCTGCCAAGGCAGGGCCCTGCCCTCTAGCCTACAGTGGCTGCTCTCCCTCCTCCTGGCCTTGTCATCTCGTGTTTTTTGCAACACCAACAACTTCAGCTGAAGGGCCAGACTGGCAGCTGCACTTCTCTGGGAAGTGACACATAAAGAAGGTAGCAATTCCCACAGCATCTGTCTCAGCCATTGAGCTTTATGAAACTACAGGCATTGGCACCAATACCAGCTCAGTTATGGAAAGTGAACTCAGCAAGGCTTACTTTTTGAGCACTCCCAACTTTTTTCAAACTATTTCTTCTAAGGAATATAAATTATCCTTCTTGTAAGTGCCAGGCTGGATGCCCCATTACCAAACTGGTATTTTGGCACCTTACTCCTAAAGGGGAGTATATGAAGATGCAGTTAAGTAAGAGCAGAACGCATCTTACCCAATATCAGCCAAAGGAACTTCTAAAATACCCCCTGTTACTGGCCAGGGATGCAAAGGTCAGGAGATAGAGAAGTTATACTAAAAAACCCTGTTCTGAGCTGGAGTTTGGACTAGATGATCTCCAGAGGTCCTTTTCAATTTGAACAATTCTGTGATTAATCAGCTGCTCCTGAAAACAGGCAACTTTTATAAACTAGGATGTGTGACAGTAAATGAAGGCTACCTGTGGAAATAGAGTCGCAACCATGATCAAAGAGCTCTCCCAGGGGAGAACTACTGTTTGTTCTTCTGGCTTGCTTCCCATCAATGGCATCCAGAGACTGGTAGATAAAAAGTCCTAGTGCACCCAGGATGTATGCCCAAAAAGGTGCCTGAAAGAGATTCACATAAAAGGTCACCAGGTAGTTCCCAATTTCTTAGGTGATAATCTATTTCATTAAAAGTAAAATAATGTTCACAAAACTGTATTATATTGTGCTATTTGTTACTTAGTGGACAAACCAAACACCTTGCACTAATATCTACATGGATTGTAGTAACTACTGTAATGAACTACCTCAGATACACCAGTGGAAGACAAGTCCTTCTATTTATTTAAACAAAAACAAACCCAGAACTTTGGCCCCTCTTCTGCATCAACTGACCTTATTTTCTACCTTAAACTCACAGTATTTCTGTGATTAGTTGCATTCTTTGTGCTGAAAAATGTTACAAAAAACATCTTTAAAAAAGCAAGTAGTAGCAATGCACTTACTAAAGCTTTCAGCAGTTTGTGTCACAGACACGTAGATGATTTGCTCATATTTACAACATATAGATATAAAAACCCACCAAGTTTTTTACTAAATAAAGACTTCAGCCTTTAGGGAAACACACAAAAATTGACTACCTAGGCACTTTGGACAGGACTTAAAAAAATTAAGTAATTCACTAAATATGAAGGAGAAAGTATCTACTTAATATACATCATCATTTTCAAACCAAGCTGTTACATTAACACCACTCTTAGGTTCAAAGAACTGTTCTGCAGTCATTCCTTTGAAAAGCACTGTTTTCATATGCACAATCAGTCTGGCTTCGTCTAGGAATTAGGTTTTGTTTAAAATTATTTTAAACACCCTTGGAATGAAGCACAGGCAACATTTGTACTTCATGTAGTTTCCAGTACTTCCCTTAGCATTCAGGAGTACTGTTCACGAAAACGAGGCCAGGTGAAAAGGCTGGAAATGCAACTTGCAGGTGAAACAAGCAAACACCCACAGGCAGTCACAGAGCTGAATCCTTTCCCACTCCCTGCTTAGGGACAGCTGCTGTGCTGCTACACCTCTGCAACTCCTCTCCTGCAGCACAAATTGGCTAACATTTGTCCATGTATTTCCTAAGACCAGTAAAGGCTATTAAGCAGATTAGACACCAGCTCAGATCTCAGTGTGCTGAGATTTGTCCACGCTCAACTAAACCCAGTGTCACTGCTGAGGAAGAAGGGAAAATGGCAGCAGTAAGAATGCAGATGAGGTGCAGCTGCTCCTCTAGACATTCTGATGTCTCACCATCATTATACTCATTGTCTTCAGCTAGAAAAAAAAGTTATGCCTCCAGGTAGACTGGTCACAAAACACACTAAGCAGCCACATGCTTAAGGAAAGTCCAGTTCTGAATAGCATTTTTGCTGTTATTTAAGAATTCCTCATGTGTTTCAGGCTGGCTGATACACTGTTATCAAAGTCAATTGGTTGGCTGCTTCACCCAGCTTTGAAGGAAATGACAGCCAAAGCATCAGGAACTCACTTTAGGTGCAAGCTCTGGATTTGTATGCAAATGAAAATCTAGAAAACTTAAAGCAGTCTTCAAAACTGGCAAGGCTGCCTCCTCCTTTAATCCAAGGAAACCAAGAAAAATTGTTATCAGAGATCATGTAGGAAGCCTTAAGCAGGTGAAAGAGGATGAGGAAATATTATTATTCCAATAATATACAGGTATTTGATAACTCCTGCAAAGATCACACTGTAGAAACCCAGGTCAAGTGAGGACAGCAATACAAGTTTGATGCTTAGTGATGGAATTAGTTGAGTTTCTTAGGTTTATTCTCCCTTCTAGTTTAATTAAAAAAGGAATCTTGTCTTGGGGGATGTGGTTAAACCAGGGAGGAAAGTTTTAGCCACCTTTTGAAAAAAATTCACTCCTCTAATGAAAGGGAAAGGATAGAGCCTGTGGAGATCAGGAGGTGCCTGTAGCTACCCCAGGACTGAGGATCACCAAAAGCCCCAGAGAGGCACAGAGAACTCAAGGGTCTCTCATGGCACGAGCTCATTTGGTCTCACACTGTGCAGGGGTCTGCAGCTACCTCCACTTGCTCTGCATCCTTCAAAAACAGAGGGCTGTCAGCCATTGCTCAGGTACTTCAGAACATAAAAGCACAGTTAGGACTTTGCTGAAGCTGAGATAATTTTAGCTGTGATATAATCCACATATTAAAGTTACCACAGTGCATACACTGGCTTTCAGAATAACTTTTTTACATGGAGAATACCAGAGAATCTCAAACACAGCAGCTCCAGACCAATGAGCAGAAAGGCCATGAGAAATCACTGTTTGCACTGCTGTCTTTTAAAGGAGTGTTTGAAAGACACAGCCAATTTTATCAGCAATATTTCTGTGAAGTGCCACAAAGGTCATCTGCAGTGTGAAGTGTCCTTATGGTGACAAACTTCCATTAATTATGAAAAGACAGCTTAAGATCTACCTTTAGCTTCTAGCAAAGCAAGCATAACACAATATATACAAAAATAAAAAAATACATCAGCTTTAACTCAAACTTCTCCTATTAGGGCTTTTTGACAAAACAGTAGCTTTTTTCCCAGTTGCAAGTTATGGTACAGCTATGGTCATTCAGACTGATCCAAGTCTGTTTGCATTAGCTCCTTCTGGGACAAATCAAAGCAAGAGTCCCTCAGCACTCTGTCTGCCCCTTGCTGCTCTGGACAAAGGGTGAGCATTTTCATCTGTTTCCCAGTGAGGATCATCTGTATCCATCAGCACCTGTAGCAGACGTATCAGGATCCCCCATAGTTAGAAAGAAAGGAAAAAGAATTCTTACTTATGCTAGTAAGAATAGCATATGTCAGAGACCTTAGAAACACCATCTGGAGCATTTCATCCCCAGGCTGAGAGTTCAAATCTAAACCAGAGTGGTAAGAACCAAAATTTACTTGTGATCAACTATCATTTAGCAGCTCTAATGTTTTAATTGGTAAAACACAGTTTTCCAGATCACCAAAGGGTCCTAATAACCATGGATTTTCTCTGCTTTCCACCCTCCCAATACAGCTCATGCTCCTGTGTCCTTTGCCTTCTCACGTGCCTGGCTGTCCATTCAGGGATGTCCCCTGATGGCTTCCCACACTGGACCCAAGAAGTTTTCAAATTAGAGAAGTGGGAATGAGAATGCTGACATGGCTAAGTAGAACAGTCAGGAGGCTCCCAATAATCATCAGCTTTTCACTGATGAGCTGTTTATTATCTCTGCCCAAAGTTATATTCTGCCCAAGCAAATGCATTATTTGGCCAGACCTAGGTGCCACTCTCACAGAACTAGAAGAGAACAGAAGCCTGAGGGGGAGGAGGCAGGGAGGGAGAGAGGGATGCTCAAAGGGGACTCTGAAGATACTACAAGCCCAGAATCCTGTCACACACAGATACAATACAGCAGAATTGGTCATCTGCTAACCCAGAGCATGTCACAACAAAGCCATCTACATCAAGTGTTTGATAGATATGTGTGACATGCCTCTCTTCCAGGAAAAAATGGAGGTAGAACAGCAGGCATTCTTCTACTCCCATGATTCCACCCCACAAAAGAGCATGGACATCTGCAAAAGACTACATGTGTCAGGGAAACCTCTTAGAAATAGTTTCAAGCACAGCTCTCAAATCCAGAGAATTCACAGGCCAAGCTTCTGCAGTACTTAAAGATTCAGTTCCTTAATTACTCATCACGTTTAGCCATAATCTCACTTCCTCAATCCATGCCTAATAGTGTTGCCCTAGTTTACATGGCACCTCTCTGGACCAGAGCCAGAACAGAGGGAGACATTCTGACTGGACTTCCCCCTCCTCTACCCCCTAAACATGGATCATTTCCCACGCTTCTGTTCAGCACAAACCACTGTGCAATTGTACTGACAGCAAGAAAAGGGAAAGGGCTGTTCAAACCTGAGCTACAGCAGGGAAGGCAGCATGGATGAAAAAAATAATAATCAAATAATTATTGTTCCAGTGCATTTCATGCATACCAAGGACTCTCTGGATTCCTTTAGCATCCTTGTCTCTCTAACAAGCCCTGTCTGAAAGAGCTCTCATCCTTCTGTGTCAGGATTCCTGACCTTCTTATTCATGCCAAATAACCTCCTTCTCCCATTCACCACTGAGCTGTTCCCCTCTTGTGGGTTTTGGCTGAATTTCCCACTCTGCTCAGTACTTCACATTTATTTTCCAAGTCAGGTAATGCTTTTTCCTTCAGGCTCTGCCCAGCCCCCCCCCCCCCCCCCCCACATGCCCTGCTCATACCAGCTGCTCCAGTTTAACTTCTTTTCTACTTCTCTACTCTCTCTCCCACAAAGCTCAGCTGTGTCCCTGCTGTTTACATAATATCATACCTGTCAATATCTTCCTCTCATTCTGCCCTCTGGCACGCCTCTTTCATTTTAAAGGTGGTTCAGTTGTTTGTTTGGGTTTGCTGTTGGTTTTTTTTTAAAGTTTTTTTAAAAGAGAGAGAGGCAGAGACAGCATCTCACCAATGTCCCTCTCCCTCCAAACAGCTGATAGTAGAGCCAGGTAAAGGCACTCAGACCCTTCCTTGCTCTTTGGTCTCCCTAGATATATGGCTTTCTAAACAGCACATTTCAGCAAGGTATGACACCCTTTTATAAACTCACTAGACCATTATTGAACAATCTTACTGAGCTAGCCACCACAAGCCTCCCTTCCTTCCCTTAGCTCCCTGCAGGAGAACCCTTGGGCCCCTGCCCCCTTCTCCTATCACTGCCCATAAAGCAAATCCATAATCCATCCTTTTCTCTCCCTATCTTCCTCTGTTCCCAGTTCTTTGCTTAGATCATGCTGTAAGTGCTACAAGATTAATTTTCAAATAGTTATAATTCAATACAATCTAATAATTAGTTAGCATGCACTTCTGTCTGAAATTCTAGTGTCTCAAACCATTCTACAATTACATGACTTTATAAAAGAGGGCAGATTTAGACTAAATATAAGAAAGATTTTTATTTTATGATGAGGATCATGAAACACTGGCACAGGCTGCCCAGAGAGGTGCTGGATGCCCAATCCCTGGAAACATTCAAGGTCAGAATGGACAGGACTCTGAGCAACCCAATCTAGCTGAAAATGTCGCTGCTGATGGCAGAGAGGCTGGACAGGATGGCCTTTAAAGGCCTCTTCCACCCAGCTATTCTTTGATTTTAGAGAGACCTGTGGCTGACCTTGAAGGATTACCAAAGCTAGACCCCTCCATGAGCAACCATAAAAACAGAGGATCAAAGTTTCCTTTCTCCTTTTTAAGAATGATGTTTAGTCAGTTTTCTTCCTGGTTTTCCCCAGAAAGGGGAAGGATATGGAAGATTCCCCTGCAAAGCCTTATGAATTGACTAGCTGCTTCAGAGTGGTCTGCTGGCAGTAGAGCAAAACAATTCACTGTCTTATGGTGGGGATGAAATAGAAATCCTCACCTAAAAAATGCTCCTTTCACACTCTAACGCACCAGATACACATTGCTCTTACTTAATGTCAGCAGGAGTTTTCATTCCTAAATATTTCCTAATGAGTGTCAAAAAAAAGAAAAAAAAGAAAGAAAAGAAAAAAACGGAACACAACCCAGGCTGCAGACACAGTGAAAACAACATTTCAGCACTCCACCGAACATGAAATGTCAGGTGGTGGCCTCTCCACCACCACACCTGGATACTGTTTCTATAGATTGCTGTCCTAAATAACAGAGATTAGGAAAATAAAAACATGCACCTGAATCATGGTTACAATAATGCCTGAGGGGTGCAACCTGCTAATGGCTTAGCTGTAAATAAGAAAGCTTGGGTCAAAACAGGCACTTAGAGAAGACAGTGATACAAAAATCATGTTCCTGCTAGGCAAGGAAACATTACTGAAGCAGACAATATTTAATAATTCCAAAACATACTGTGCCAGTTAGTAACAAACTGGTGTTTAGTAGCTGCTGGTACTGATGAAGATAAAAAGGATAGTGTATAGGGAAATAAGGGCTCCATGTTAGGAGAACAAGAGAGCATTTTGTGGTTTGAGACATTACTTTCATTGGGAAAGGGAAATCATGGAAATCACTGCAAAGGCAAAATGGAAGTGGAAAGTACAAACAGGTTCAGAACAACTAATTCAGAAGGCAAAATCATGAGGTGGAAAGCGTCTCTGGGGAAACAGATCTGTCAGTTGCTTTCTACTAAGTAACTCAAACAGAATCCCTTGCAAAGAAACTGCTAAACCACAGTCTTCTGGCAGCTGGAAAGGTATATGTATACTGGAGAAAGATCTCCTTTCTAAGCATCTGCTAGCAGCTGCTCTCTGAGGGATTTCAGCTACCAGTCTTACTTGCTTTGGATGGTACAAACATCAAGAGTTTTGTGTTTTCAATAAAGGCTTAACCAAAATGGCCCACTTAAGATTGGCTAGGGAATAAAAAACAATCACATAAACCAACTCAAAAGAAACCCCCAACACCAAACCCCAAAAGTGCTTGTTACTTTATCCAAGTCTTCTATTTAGTGCTCCTACCTGTGAGACTATAACAATGTTATAAACAACGGATGTTTGTCCATCAGGTGATCAAGACATGTTCATGATGGAAAGAGGTGCTGTTGAAGTGCACTATTAGTTCAGTCTGTGATTTCAACCATCTTTAATGTAATTGTCAGCTCCACCTGTCCCTTCCAGCCTACACATCCCAGTCAAAACTCCAAAGGAGGTATTACAACAGTGCATGCAGCACCTGCCAGTGCTGCAACAGATTTAGCTTTTTCAAAAAGCCATCCAGAAACATGATCTCAACTTAGGCAGAAGACAAGCTGAGTCATTAAACAAGCTGGAGGGAGAATGATGCTTCTAAGTGATGCAGCAAGAGAAAATCAGGGCTGTTCTCACAGGGCAGAGGCAACAAACAAAACAACAGGATAAGGCTGGATCCACACTGCCTGTTTATAAAGGATATACTGATATCTGAACACGAATGTATAGTCCAAACTATAGCTTCTTATAAAATCCAGCTAGGAACAGAAAAGTTCCTAAAACCCAACCTAAGTTTTCCTGGAAGGAATAGTTCCCTAGATATCTGCAACACAACTTTTTTCTTTTTGTACAAGAGTCCTCAAAGGAAAAATAGCTTAAGTAAAATTTACTTTCTGCTTTTAGTTTTGAACAGCAAAGAGAAAAAGCTAAAATGAGCATTCAGACACATAGCTGGCACAACTGATATTTTCATCACAAAACTAAGCTAAAGGTAGCAGTACACAAGCATTTTAATTCTGAAAGTGGCACTAGAAGACCATCTGTAGTTTCCAACCATTCACTGTCATCTCTGTCTTCTCTTTTACTGCCTGAGTGCCTCTGCCTGGTGATGTGTATCAGGGGAGTGATAAGGGTGAGACCAAACCAAAGCTAATTTATATCTGGATCAGTTTCCTGATATGTCTACCACAAATACCCCTGCTTATACAAAGGGCACAGCAACTAGAGAAAAAGAAATGTTCTTCTGACAGGAACATTCACCAGGGTAAAGCTATGGTATTTAAAATGTTGGTATCCCAACCAACTGCCAACCTCTGCTGTTAGAATTTAAGCCCATCAGAACACAAGAAAAACAACGGCCACTTTCAAATGTATTTTACCCGCATAAAGCAATTTCCCCCTGCTATCTTCTACTCTAACTACCATAAAAACTCTGCAACGGGAAACTTGCAACAGGCTGGGAAGCTCTGATGGAGCCCCTGAAATTGACTGAGTAACTGTAGGCACTGCAGGTCAAGTGAGAGTAGCACCAGCCCACGTTAACAAGCCTGTTTTCCCTCCAGAAGTCAAAGCAATTAAATGTTTCCCACACAAGGAGGGATACATTTGAGCAGCTGTCAGCAAACTCATCTGCTCCCCAGCCCAGCCGCAGCTATGATGCTCAAGTGTCTCGTGGTCCAGCCCTGCCCTGCTCCTGGCCACATCCCGCACCTCTATCATCACCTGCTGCTGTTTGTACGTCCACGGCCCCTGTGTGACAAGGGGGGAACATTCCCTTCCCAGCCATGGAATGCAAGATGGGCTGTGTGTGAGGCGGGGGTCCCCGCCCCAGGCGAGCCCGGCCATGCCCTCCGCCCCACAGCGCGCAGTGCAGGCCAAGCGCCCGCCGCACCAAAGCCGCGGCCCCACGGGGCCCTCTGGGCGGTGACCCTCTCCTTCCACGAGATCCCTACAGCGTTCTGGCATTCCAACCTCAACACGCATCTCCAGCTGGACCCCTGCTGCCCCACAGGGTGAGCCTCGCGTCTCCTGGTTGCTCAGGAGAGCCCCGCAGCCCTGCCTTAACCCTCCCTGCCGAGGGACGGGACACGCGTGTCGCTGCGGTGGAGCCCGAAGTGCCAGGGCACCGCACCCGCGGCGGGCACGGCTCCCCGGCTCCGGGCACCGTCGGGAGGCACCAGCCCGGCCGAGCCGCGGCCCCCGCGCCCGGCTGCAGCCACGTCGGGCGGTACCTGCTCGGTGGCGCTGGGGCAGCAGGCGATGAGCGGCAGCGCCGTCAGGCAGTTCAGCAGGAGGCCGCCCAAGGTGATGGCGTTGGGCGCCAGCCCCCGCGGGACCTGCTCCACCAGCCAGCCCCAGTAGGGCTGCAGCCACGGCTCCAGCAGCGAGCGCCCGGCCGCGCTGTAGCGGTGCTGCTCCAGGCGCTTCAGCTGCGCCGGGCTGAGGGGCGCGGGCAGCGCCCAGGACACGGCCATGCCCACGCCACCGGGACGCATGGCACCGGGGTCAAGGAGCCGCCGCCGCCGCTCGGGGCGGGGCTGAGCCGAGCCGGGGGCAGCGGCGGAAGAGGCCGACGCCCAACAGCGCCTTGGCCGGAGGGGAACGGCCGCCCCCGCCTCGGCCAACGCGCGGCGAACGCCCTCGCCCCCGGCTCGGCTTTGGCTCCTTGGCCCCGAATGCGCGGCGCTCTCACGGCCCCAGCCCCGGAGCGGGCACGGCTCCGCCGGCCCCGCCTCGCCGTGAGGGGCTGGGGATGCCCGGGCGGCGGGGAAGCCCTGGGTCGGGGCGGGGTGCGGCCGGCAGGGCCCGTCCCGCCGCCTCCGCAGGCCGCGGGCGGTCAGGGCCGGGGCTGTCCCCGGGGAGAGGCGGCCGTGCGCGCACCTCTCATCTCGGCAGGGTGAATGAGCGCCGCTCCCACCCGTGATTTCGGCTTACTTCCCTTTCACAAGTTTTATCACGCGGAAAGTGGCCACAGCGGGGCCGCACGCTGCAGGTGGCCAGAAGGATTTCTGCTGGAGCAGAGCATAAAGGCAGAGTTTGAGCAGCAGGTGACCTCCCTGCTGCCAGCAGGACAGTGCCTGCAGGGACGGTGGCCCCACGGCATCACCCAAGGATCCCTTCCCATTTCCTGGGGAGTTCTGGTGTTAACGTGTTAGGAACATCTGCACACCGTGTTACACAGGACTTACTTCACATCCTTGACTTGCTTAGAGAGGGTGCTTCAAAACAAATGTGCCTTTAGAGAAATTGTGGCACATCAAATTATTTGAATTGGTCATGTGAAGGATTTTAGATGCGTTCCTGAATCTCCAGGAAGGTGTGTGGTTTCTGGATGAGACCAAGGAAAAGCTGTGTAGCTGAAGTAGAAAGTGAAAAATACAATGTGCAATGGCATCTTCTTAGTATTGGAAATTCTCTTTTTTAAGTTACTCCACTGTGAGCCAGAGGGTGCAGCTTTCTGTCCAGACACTGCAGTTTCCTGGACAGAGCTGCTTCCTGTTATTCAAAGGGAGCTGATTCACTTCAACTGATAAAGTTATAATGTGTTTGAGTAGGTTTCTCTATTGCAAGAGTCTGGAATGCTTGGCACATGTTAAGTGCTGGTTTCCAAATCCTACTGTGTGCTATGGGCATTCCAAGTGTTATGTCATTCATCATCTGATTTAATTTAGAGATCACTAATAACAGTATGATGCAGTAATTGTCTTTAGAGACCAAAGCAGAGGGGATAGGAACTGTTAGTAAAGGAGAATATGTAGTCTGGATTTACATATAACATAGTAAAGAAAGGTTCAGTTATAGCCAACTGGAGAATGGCAAAAGGGAAATCTGACAGATTCACAACCGGTCAGATCCGCAGTCCGCTGGAATCACTACATTTGGAAGAAGATACGACTCTGTTTCATTTAATATCCTGTGTATCACTGCAGTCAATGAGCATAATAGAACTGGTATTTATGGAGAGATTGCTCATTGAATAGCTGGAGGAAAAGAGAAACTGGGGAAAGAAGTGGAGGGGAAAGTAATGGGCATAAAAAGCAAGTGCCACATTAGAGGAAGAAACAGATTCCCTACTGAATTTATCACTGGGCTTGGGGAGCTGTTTTAATTTCAAAAGTATTCATCAACAAAGCATGGAATAAGAGAACACAGAATTTTAAGTCCAGTGTATTTAGTCTTCTAGTGCTTCTTCAGCATTCAAGATACAGTTTTGCTTCCAAAGCAGCAGCTTTACCTGTCAGTCAGGAAAGCAGGACATGAAAGTCAAGTGACAGTAAGTACACTGTGCTTAAAATAGAATGCCTTTTGCTCCAGAATCTCAAAATGCAACAAAAGATTTTCAGAAAGTAAGAGTCCCTTCACAATGCTCTGTAAAAGGTACCGATGTTACACTTCTCCACCTGAAAGGAAGTTCAGGAAGCTTAAAATATTTCTTATAAAAGGAATACTTTAAAAAATTTCTGACTCTTCATAAAGACCTTATTAACAGTATATCCTAATTTAAATAATCTTTTAAAGGTTACTTGGGGTTTTTTTTCCCCTCTCCTTTATATTTGTGAGATTTTTTTCAGTAAGGGAAAAACGTTTTAGCAGTAGCTGTGCTCTTTCAATGCAAATGGGTAACTGCAGTGCCTGTATCAAGATCCACATATACCAATTTGAGAATGGAGCTGTATTTCTACATTTTTATACCAAATAACCTTCCATGGGGAAAGAAAGCAAATAGAAGCCAAGAGAAGACCAGATATTTTCCTGTGGCTTCATTAAAAAGAAACTATTTTTAATTAACTTTGATTCATCTTTATGTGTCTATCAATGTGTGGTTACATGTGTTTGCTGTCCTCTGTTACTCCTAGGTCTCTTTCAGGTTCACTAACTACCTGGAAAGCCCTGTAGCTTTGGAGAAATTTCTATGGAGCATTATGTCACATCTTCTACAGCATGATATTCTGTTGCTTCTGTCCCCTCTAAGTCACTTCTCCTGTAATTGCTGTCTTTGGTACCTCTTTATTTTCCTAAGCTGGTATTAACTGCAGATTTCATTAGCATTTTCCTAACCATTTGGGTTTGGTCACTATTACATTCACCAAACATCATTCCTGGAGAATCCCATAGGGCAAATTGTCATAAACCAAAACTTCACCTTCTGTTATTCTCCCGATAAGGTTCTGCAGCCTGTTTTAAATCACTGGAAATCCCTGTCCTGTCCCACACCATCCAGTTATTTCTCTGAAAGGCAGTTAATTCTTGATCCAGAGTGGTGGCTGCTCGGTGTAGTCTGGATTTAGAGCCGGTTAATGCCCCCTCCTCCCATCCCCAGCCCGAGGTGGTGCAGGGGGGAGGAATTGAGGGCAGCTGAGTACAACGCTTACTGTTCACCCAGGGAAAAGGAGCTTAGGTCAGCTTGTTGTTTAACAACACTGGCATCTGGGAGAAATTAGAGTGCCTAATTCCATCCACAGAGAGCTTGCAGAAGCTGAGGTTATGCTGGGCTTCCAGGTTGTTATGTGTGGGATATTAAGACTGAGGAGGCAGATAAATGTAACCTTGAAGCTGTAAACGTTAGGCATACAAAGTGCGGGTGGCTGTGTGCTTCATTTTTGGGCTTACTGACAAGCAGAAACTCACAATAACTGTAGCCTTTGGTGCTGACTATAACAGACTGATACTACTTTAAATGTGGGCCATGTGCTTAAATGCTTAAATCTCTATGGCATTTAATCAAACTGACCGTCTCCTGCAGCTTTCTGTGCTTCAGAATAGATGGAGGGAGTCTCAATTCACTGGTGAGATACAGAATAAACAGAAATTATTAATCCTGTATGAAATTCTTTTCCTAGTAGATGTGTTGCTTTCTTTCACGTATAGGTGTGAATGAATGTGTCGGAGAGGATTGATTTTGGCAGGAGCAGGGTGAAATGCAGGTGGGGTGTGGAGGGGTGTCCAGGATCACTGGGAATGCAGAATTGCTTCTCTGCACAGATAGCACTACAGAAGAAATAACTAAGATAAAAAGAGTGAAGAAAAGTATCTATCTATCCCTCTGCCTATCTATCTAATCTATCAGAGTAAGATTTACATAACAATGTGAGAAAATGCACTCAGATCCCCAAAGCAAAAGAAGTGGGAGCACAGCTGTAAAAACACTACTTCAGGTGTGGCAGTTCAGAGTAACACATTCTTCTTTTATTGCATAATTACTGACTGCTGAATGTTTGAAAATGCGCCGACATCAAATAAACATCTTGTGGTGTACTACTGGTCTAAGCAGGCCTTTATCTTTATAAACCCTAATTGGAGATCAGTCATTAGCCAGTGAGCACATAACCTGCCCTGTTTGTACAGCCAGAGTGAGAATTGGTAAATAAATGTCAGGGCAATAGGGAACTGACAACCTGGCCAAGATGTTTGTGACCTTGTGTCTCTCATGTTTCAGGGTTTGCTGGAGACTCATGGACAATCACCCCCTCTCCTAAAGAGCTTGGAGGTTAATGATGCTGGACTTGGAGAAGAAATGTAGCCCTTCTACCTTATCTCAGGCACTTTTGCCATGCGCAGTGAACTCACCAGTGCTATGTCTGAGTCCCTTTTCTGATGTGATGGCTACAAGAGCCTCATAAATTACTGGGGGAAGGGAGTGGATTGAGAATGGTGAAAGCTGTCGTGGCTGGCATTTATCACATTTAAAATATTGAAAAACACGCAGATAAAAAGTTGCATGTATCGGTAGCATTTATCTCCACTCACATTCTGTGTCATGGATCTTAAGGTGTAAGCACACTGGGTTAGGTGACTGCTGATACTGCTTTCCACTCCACATGGTGGGCAGTGGAAGTTCCTGCTTTATTGTAAGTGGAAATAAAACAAGAAATGGGATAAAATGAGACAGAAAAAAAAAGTAAACAAGAACTTAATAGATCTTAAACACTTCATGTTTATTGTACATTAAATAAAACAATTTCAGTTAAGTTGAGAGACCAGTGGGTCGGATTTAGGAAATCAAAACTTCTATAGGAAGATATGTTCAGCTTAAATGATCATTAATTACATATGCATTAGTTACATTATAGTAAAACCATATTCTGTTAAACAATTCTCGGGTGAATAAGATACATTATCAGAGGTATGTATTCCAAGGATCTTATTGCACATCTACTGGCTAATCCATGTACTTCCAGTCTGAGAAAGATATGCTTTGTACCACTGAGAACAGACTGACTGCTTCCTTGTGCTTGTTACACAGCTTCCCCTCTTTCCTCATTAAAAACCAGAACACGATATCAAACAGAAAATAAAGCTGAACATTACAAAACGTGTGTTGTCTTCAGTTCATTTCATTTCAACCTCAAAGCAATCCATGCGTAATTCTTTCTTTTCAGTAAGAGCAGGTAGGGAAAACAAAAGGACAATTAAGGGGGAAAAAACAAAGTCATAAAATCCCCCACCACACATGTTTTTCTGTCGTTGCAAGAAC